TTTATATACTTTAAGCTTAATTATTTTTATAAAAAGTAATAGCTACTTATTTATATATTTTTAAAGTTAGTTATTAAAATACTAACTTTTTAACTAAAACTAAGATCCTAGGTAATAATAAGGGCAATAAGTATTTTATTTATATATATTTATTAGTATTCTTTACCTTTATAGGCTAGGGGCTAAAGCCTCTTTTAACTACCTATAACCTTACCGCAGATACTAAACCACACAACCTTGTAGGTTCTCGACTGTTAGACTTTTGGTAGCTTTGGATACTACCCAGTCTCTCACATCTTCTTGGTCGCTAATGAGACGTGCTATTTCGGCCGTGTCTCTCCTGGGAATATAATGCAAGGAACTTAGTATCATGGCCTGGAGGACAGGGAGCAGACACCGGTCGTCGCCATGATCTTGACGTCTTTTGCGAAACCGGGCCTCGTGTATCATAGGAATCCATGGGTGTATGTGCCGAAAGTACGCGTCTACGACCTGATCTAGGATGACATCATCAGGTAAACCTGGTTGATTGACGGCATACTGAAATCTTTCACGATATCCGACTTGTTCTATTCGACGACGCTTATGTGGCGAATCAATAGGAGCACCTGGGGAAGCGGTAAGGGCAGGATAGCCGAGTTTACATATCTCGCGGGCAAGAGAGGATAGAAGAAGACTCTGTCTATCGACAGCTTCTTGTTGTGAGCTTGTTTGGGGAGTTGACGCCTCTTTGGCGCGAAGGTTTTGTAACTCTTTCTGTTAGTTTGCTATCGTCCGTTCCAATGCATCTTGTCCCTGATTAGTCATGATATCGTGGTAGATGGGCATCGGTCGCACCAAGCCGTTTGTGCACGTTTTCGATAGCGCCGGCTTTCATGCCAGGTCTGGCGCGCCTTGTCTCGGAGACGCATTCTTGGCCTGGCAGGGCTTGTTAGACATCTCATTGTGAAGAGGATCATTGTGTCGCCATACCTGTTCTGCGGCAGTGTTCGCAGATTGGCGTCTCTCGTGAGCATCGAAGCTTACGTTTGCGACAGCAGTTACAAGCAAGACCTGCATCGGAGGCTTGAGTAGTCTGCTCCGGCTGAGTGGGGTCGTCGTTATCCATCATATCGCTTCGGACAGATTGAAAGCACGCCGTACAGTTGTTTGTGAGCGGGAAAGATGAGAAGACGGGAGTTCAAGTATCCCGAGTTATTTAGGCCGGGGGCCGCTTGAGATACGCCGAGGTGCCGAACTGCCCCGCACGCCGATGATGACTGGCTTATGCTTGACCTAGGTAGCTGAAGCTGGATCGATCATCGGACCAATATTTGCCGAGCCCATCCAAATTAATCAAGCTCTTCCAAACTTCATATTGTTCTTGCTCAGGATTGGTGATTTGGGTCACCCTTTTATCTTTGACATCACATTTCGTGTCTCGTCCACCAGCCTGCTATGCCTGGATTACCTGGCTTTTCTAATAATCCCTTCCGGGATCGTCACGATCTGTTACGTGCAGCCACTGCCATTATCAGACCATTGGAGCAATACAGGTCTAAGTCCAAAGCTCGTGTCAAGCTATATCCATCGACTGCTGCGGGCTTTGACGATGTCGCGGCCCAGCTTGAAGGGTTTGCTCGTCCACTATGGGTAATATCAGGGCTCGTGGATAAGTGCGGAACCTTCAATGCGTTCTTGGCCCCGCGGTATTGAGGCTGGTGTTGATCCAGAGAGTCTCGAATACTGGGATCATCTCGGATCTTTTGACTAGCGCATGGTGGAAATGGAATCAATAGCTTTCGCCCTACTGATGGAACCTCATGTGATTATGTCATTCTTAAATCTAGAGTCTACGAAAAACCTGGAACAATGGCTGCAACGAATTAACAACTTTGATATGCCGCGAAACAATTGGCGGTGGTTCCGAGTTTTGGTGAATCTGGCACTGATGAAGGTGCTGGGATCCGACAAAGACAAAGCGAGACAAGCTATGGATGCTGACTTTGAATTGCTTGATCAGTTCTATGTCGGAGAGCGATGGTCCTCAGATGGTGTTTGGGGGGACAATAGGAAGCAGGCAGACTACTACTCTGGAAGTTTCGCCATCCAATTCGCACAGATACTGTACGTCCACTGCGCAGTAGATGACGAGAAAAGAGTTGCAAAATATCGACAACAAGCGATGGAATTTGCATCCGAGTACTGGAGATACTTTGACACAAACGGAGCTGCTATTCCTTTTGGTCGAAGCATGACTTACCGATTTTCCTGTGGAGCCTTCTGGTCGGCCCTTGCTCTCTCGGGAATCCAGTCATCCGAGTCTCGACTTAACCTGGGTATAATCAAGGGACTTCTCCTGCGTCACCGGCGATGGTGGGCGAAACAAACAGACATCTTCAATTCAGATGGTACCATGAATATTGGCTATGCCTACCCCAACATGTACATGTCGGAGGATTATAATTCCAGACAATCTGTCTACTGGTGTTTGAAGTCTTTCGTCGTGCTTGGGCTACCATCAGACCATCCATTCTGGACCGTCCAAGAAGAACCCCATCCGATCTATGCCTTGAATCCAACCGCCAGACACCCTGACACTGCATGGCTCTTTCCAGCACCTCATCAGATAGTATGCCATTCTGAAGAGCATCATTACCTTCTATCAGCGGGACAGATGACTACCCAAATGTTCAAAGCCAGAGAAGCAAAGTATGGAAAGTTTGCATACTCTTCTGCCTTTGGGTACAGCATCCCAACTGGCGTGGAACTCCACCAGATTGCACCCGAAAGCACTTTGACTGTAAAGTTGGATGACGATGGACCGTGGAGGGTCAGGTCACAACCGTTCGATGTTCGCTTCGACACGATACCTATCCACTCGGCAAAAGGCCGTGGCCATCTTCCTTCTATTACCAGCAAGTGGAGGCCAGTCAAGAGCCTGGACTTGACAATCCAAACCACTTTGGTTCCTTTAACTTACCATTAACCGGGATGGCATCTTCGTATTCATTACATAAGAGGCCTTGGAGCGGTCAATGGGATCCCTTGGTTCAACAACTTCGAAATGGTGGATAGTTCCTTCGTAGTAAACGAGCTCACGGACCAGGGATATCATTTCTCTGCGATTGACACGGCAAAGATTAAGCACGACGGGCAGTTCGCCGAAGGGTATGTTACTGATCAATCTAGCATTCTCGTCAAATCTCGTGGTGGAGTTAGTGGCATTGTTGATCTGACACCAAGCATCAACCTCAAAGGAGGGCTTCACCGTGATGAAGTGAAGCTAGAATGCAGAGAATATCTGATTCAAGCAGATCCCAACACAAATTTAGTCGCACAGAAGACGTTGATCCCCTCCATTCGGTATTCTGGCGCAGGTGCCATGGGTGATCAGTCCAACATGACGTCTGAGGCCCGACTATCAGCCTTTGTTGCAACTGCTGTCTTTGGCGTGAGTAACGTGAATCAGAGTATGGAGTATGTACCGAACAGCTGGTGCTATCTGCAGGATGATTGGAGCTCCATGAATATGCTAGAGATTGATTTGACAGCAGCTGGTGAAACACAAATCAGCGTTCAACAGACAACACCTCCTGGGGTTTTGGGAAGAGGGTCTATGTAGAATTTCATTTAGATGGTTGAAAAGGATTATAGGCAATCTTCATGGACCTTGAAGGCCTATCCATATCTCCAACTTCATTTCTGGGCTCTTCACCCGGGGCTGTCAACTCTTCGCTACAGATCTGAACTACCACTCCTCGGAATAATCTCTCAATCTAAACAAATCTCGCAACTATAACAAGAGAATTAACTACTGTGAGAGCGAGAGAAGTGAGCATGATAAGATATCTATTGCTATAGCTGTGAGAACCCGTAACTATCTAGACCATCCCCAAACTCGACAAGATAGTAATCGCCACATACCAATCCGTGGTTAGCATATCGTCTCATCGATATTTCATAGTTGTTGACTGTCCCATACTTCAAAAGAGCATCGAAGGTGGGCCCCGGGACAGTGTCTTCCACTTTGATGGACTTTCCACTGTCTTCAGAGGTCGTCACCTTGACCTTCTCAGTGGCGAGACAAACATCCAACGTATCCTTGACGATTTGTATAGATGCTTCAAAGAAGTGACGTGACAACGTGTGTCTTCCTAACCCAGCAAGCGCTTGAGATAGCAATAGCATTCCGTTGGCAGCAATGACGCCAGCTGATGAGTCGCGAAGAGGCTCTTTAGGATTCTCAATGGGCGCATCAAAGTGCCAGAGCGGCACATATCGCCCTCGGCGAGTACTTTTGTTTCCTGAATCAGATGGGACAGGAACCTCGACACAAGAAGGGGATGTTTCTAGTCTATGGAGGAAATATTCGGTGCATCCGCAAGCTGCGTCCAGGAATCTTTCCTGCTTGGTCCAGTTGTAAGTTCGTGCATAACTAAGGATAGCCCAAGCTTGACCCCTCGACTATGTCGAATCATGGGCGTAGCCCTGGTGTGTTCTTCTCCATTTAAAATCTCCCGTTCTGGGGTCGATGTTGGCGATATGGCAAGTCGAGTAAAGCTGACCCTGATATCCGTGCTTGACAGTCGACCTCACATTTTCTGGTCGAAGATGCGTCTTTAATAATGTTGTTGCATGAGACGAAGCTACGTCAGCGAGTCTATGTTTACCAGTCTGTGCAGCAGCATAGAATAGCAGGTCGAGATTGCACATGCTATCAATAATGATGAGTATATTGTCCTCCATGTTTGTGATGGTCACGTCCTTTTGCACAATGCAATCCCAGCTGCGAATGGCACCAGCAGCCAGTACATAACGGGTGGCCAAACTGTGAGCTGCTTGTATAATAGAGCTTATGCTTCGTTCACTTCCGAATAGTTCCCAGTCTCTCTGCAGGGCCGGCATGATGATAAAGCCAATGTCGTGGGTGTCTGTTCTGCTAGCCATGCCATGAGGTGGCTCAGACCATGACTTGCATAACGGAAGTAAATAGCTGCTGATAATCATGGATGATCTGAGCCCTGGGCTGTTGGCTCTCATAGATCCTGGGTATCTGATGGATCGCTCGAGTAACGCATACAGTGTTCCCGGGAAGAAGCCGCATGTCCAGAACTCAGGTTCGCGAATAACCCACTGTCCTTGCTTCGGGCCTTGCTGGCGCACAATTTCGGGAAAACCGTTGTGCGCCGGGTCAGAGCCTTTCAAGACTCTACTTGCATCACGGTAGGGCTTGGCGAATACGTTCTCTTCGAAAAGCTCCGAGAGAACTTTGTGAAGAGCATGCTTTTGCTTATAGATGTTTTCTTCCTTGCTGTCTGCCGCACCTTCAGACCATGACGTTTCACTCAGAGGTGTGTGTTCATCTTCGGCCGTGGATGAATTACTGTGCGCCATATCATCAGGCTGGGTTGAAATTAACGAAATGCTGTTTGTCGCGATTCGGGTGCTTGAAGTGATGGAACCATTGTGTATGTTGTATTGGGAATCAAGGTTATAGGTTGTAGCTGGATTTCTCAAGTTCCAAGCTACGATTTTATCCAACCGCTGGTAACTGCAAATGCGACAGTGGAGGTCATCTTGATGGTCGAAATAGAACCGCCGTGTAAGATGGCCCGCCTCCCTCTGGCGACGGAGTATGTAGCTCGGTGCGCGGACGAATTCGGACGCCGCTTCTTCATAATTGATTCCTCACAATAAGGTAAGCTTAAGGTAAGCAAACATAACCTATAATTGGAAACGGCTCAGTTGACTGATAAAAAACTGCTGTTAGACTCTTCTGGACGTCTGTCATAGGAATATTCGACGCAATTATAGTCGAGGCTAGGTACGCCATGCAAGTATCAACTTTCGGAGCTTCGGCCCACTCAAGTCAAAAGAATACTCTCAACAATTCATTCCATGCAGCATATTAATCAACCGCTCAATTAACTAAGATAAGCATTGTATCCTATCAGAAGTCGGGGTCATAGGCGTTATCATGTCCCGAATTGCACCTTGCCCCCGGTCCCTCATCCTTTTCATCCAACCAACACCTGACCCAATATCTATCCTCCCAGAGACTTTGACCGAAAGGCCAATTATTAGTCCATTCACCCTGAAGGAACTTGACACTTTCTAACTTCTCGCGGATCTTGGCATTTCCTAGACCTTGGAACAAATCAAGACCTTTCCCGACATCCAAAACAGAATCCGATGCGTGTTTCTTCTTATCTTCATAGCCAGTATTATTCATCAGTAGACCTTCGTCCAGCAAATTTAGATGAACAACCAGGCTTCTCAGTTTGGGTAAAGCCCCAGCAAGGATCTTCAATTCCTCTTGAGGTAAGGTCCCGTTTCTTCGTTCGAGATCGATCGTAAGGCTGGTCAAACCAGGTGCCCATTCTCCCAAGCTGCGCAGCTGATCTTGAGTTAATATGGACCTAGGCTTGAATCCTCTCTCATGGTTTGTCCATTCTAGATGTTGTAGCGTGGATCCATGATGTTTCAAAACAGGGTTGAAAATGTCCTCTTGCACCGTTTCACTCTCTTTCCAGATGAATTTCTTCAATTTTGGAGGTAATGCCATGATAAAATCGTGTGCCGGAGGAGGCGGTGAAGAAGACCACTTGTTCTTTGGTAAAGGCCCCGGGGCAGCTTCACACTCCGCCAGATGTGTTCTCCAATTTAACCACCGACCTTGGATAGAGAGATTCTCGAGACGTGTTAATGCCGGAGGAAGATTAACGAGTAAACCTTTTCCTTCTGGCCAAGTGTTTCCATTAGCGATTGACAAAGTGTGCACCTTAGAGAAGTCCATAGCTTCCAGCCAGAGCTGCATGTTTTCCATTGATAACCTCTCAATCGGTGTATGTCGCCGATCATACCACCTTTGCGCGATTCCCTCATCTTGCCATGCAGAATAGCCTGTTAGACCAGCGGGATACTTAAATTCGTATGACAGCTTGTCCCATTTCCATTGGCTGCGATAGTACATTTCCGTTGTCCATCTGATAAAAGCGTTTGTGGAATTCGACACTGGCCATGTGCCATCCTCGTTTGCCCAGTCTGGTGCTCCTGACCGCATGTATTCCAACTCGGACTTTTGAAAGTGATAGTCATATAGCGATAGGATATGTGGCGCCGAGCGATAGCGATCGCTTCCGTCCGACCGGAAAGGCAGATTGTAACCGTCGGGAAATTCTGTGCAACTTGGGCCCTCGTTCCTCAGATCGAGCTCCGTAATATTGCTACATGTTTTCAGGGCATTGTGCACAGCCTCTCATCTCCCGAATGGCGTATGCGACGGTACTGTTGCCCTAATCATCGAAGGACAGGGGTCTTTGTCAGTCCATAGTGGTGGCTCGGGCCATCTGCTGCTCGCGAATGCGGAAAGAAAGGAAGATGCAAGGAGGAGAAAAATAGCGAAATACTTGTTGGCTGTTATATGGGACATCTCTGATTAAGTTCGAATGATGTAGAAGTAAGATTGCGGGTTTCTGAAGGATATATAATGTTAGTGATGACGTGTTGGCTGATAACACCGTGTTGTCATTCTACGGGGATGACTGCTGAGTGCTGCCTATAAGGTTAAGCTTTAGGCTGCGAATACAGGTGGTGAAATATCTTCCCCAATCATAAGTTCTTACCCAAAAGTCTCCAAGATGTCTAATAAATCTATCACTGTTTTTACAGCCTAAAGTTTATCCTCGCACAAGTTTAAGAGTTGGACAATTCCGTCCTCGAGCCCAGGATAGGAGACGTTAGCATAGCCGAGAGCAATCGGGAGGCGAACGTTAGTGTAGAGGACCACCAGAAAGTTTCCAATACGTGGCAGGATGCAGTGGACCTCTGCGGGCGCCGATGCCGTACAGAAGGCAGCCAGTCGGTCAGTGTACCACCAGCAAGCAATCTCATAAAGCTCCCAATCATGAGAGGGATATACGTAAGGACCATCTGGGCATCTGGGCAGCGGTGAAGTGAGATGGGGTATATTTAAAGAGTGTGCAGAAGCTTGCAAACCAGGACTGTGTTTTTATGTATTCTTTCTGCCACTTTGAAAGACTACTACAACCGGGAGATTCAGATCACTGGAGGGATTATGGAATACGGGGCTCGCACTCAAATCAATCGGGTTGGTTTACCAACAAGAGTTAGATTCCTTCTCAGCTTACAGTTCAGGGGTTTCAAAATATCTTTTCGACAAGGTTAGGATCTGTCTGTATTGTAGTTGTAAAATTGTCTATTTCTTTACCAAAAGAATGGACCTAAAAATAAGAAGGATTCTCTATCACTAAACCTCGTCAAACTAGAACTATTTATCACGCCCCAAACTATTGTTATACTTCGCCTATGACCCAGGGCGCGGAATATGCGGAAAGCCTAGTGTCATCTCGCTCTCTGACTCGTAAGAAATTTTTCTCCTGCTATTGAAATACTTTGAGGGATGAAAAACGTGAAAGCTGATACTGACAATAGCCATAGGAATCGCATCGAGGATATAGAGATATGCCTCTTTAGATTGTAGCTCTCCATCACGTCCCTCAATATACTCAATCATCCGAAAAAGAGATCGTATGAGGATAAGTGCACTTGCGACAGAAATGACGACCATGAACTTTTGCCAGCCGTAAGGCTGTACTAGAGACTTGTTGAGAAACAGATAGTAGAATGATGTGGCTAGCGCAATAAAGAGAGTAAAAAACACGAGCTGTACCATAATACCAGCAATCACAACGTTTTCTACTGTCGTCTCGTTATCTGCGGTATCAAACTTCACGAACTTTCCACCATCTGAAAACCGTTAGTCATGGCTATTATGTGAATGATATGCAGACTTACCAACCGCTTGCAGCGCAATTGATACTATGTCGCCAACGAGGAAGACTTTGGTCAACCAGTTCGGCTTGAGCAGCGAGAACTGCTCTCCCTCCAATTCTCGGATGTATCGTCCCAGACCCATGTAGATGGATGCAGCATAGCATGTGGGCCCCAGCAGAAGAAGTAAATTCTGCACAACACAAGGACCAAAGGTGTAGTTTGGTGACTCCCTGGCACTGACTGCGCGACTAACAAAAGCGATAGCCTCGACTGATGAGTAGACTCTGTTAGCCAACGGTTAAACGGAGCGGGGTAAAAACGCCGACTTACACAGTGAACCAACTAGAAATGGCACGAAAAACCATATTCGTGTTCGAATCGTTTGGAAGAGGTGAATAGCAAATGACAGAATAAAGACAACTGCAAAGACTGTTGCCACAGGAAGAGAAGGTTTATAATAATAATAATTAACCATTATGCTATGAACTATTGATGACAGGAAATACAAGACAAGGAGATATCTCGGTCCTAGCCAACTTCGGACTGATCCCTAGGTATAAATAGTAGAAGCGTTACTAGAATTGTTTAAGTTTATAATATAAAACTCCTGGACATTACGTATATCACCAAGATTATTAAGACAGAGGGTTATTATGATGCACATTAAGTATGTGTTTCATACTTACAGGTGCTCTGATTGGTTTCCTGATGGCTAGGTAATTATTAGTATGGAGACGCTGTCGGCTGAGATCCCTTTAGTTAGCGCAGATCCATTTTTCCTTTACCCTTCACTACCGAAACAGGCACAATTGACCTTGGGCTACGGGCGCTACGCCTCCAGATAAACGGTGGCTAAGGAATGTCTAATATTTACTGCACTTACTAGTCTATCTCTGCCGTAATTGTACTCTTTATCTGAAACACGGAAAATTGTTCTTGTATTATTTTAATGTAGGTTTCTTACTAAAATTATATATTTAGTACAAGCCTAGATTACCTCCTTTCTTAAAAATAAAAAAGCATTAAAAACAAACTAGATATCCTATATTAGTATATAATTCAACTTAACTCTAAGAATAGTTCTGCAGCCTAATATATATTAAACTTCTAAAAGTCGCTTTGTTATATAAGATTTAACGTAGAATTATAAAGCTTTTCCTGTTTACCTTTAATAATAGTTTTTGCATTCATTCCTCTAATTTAATCACTAGAGAAGAGCTCTGTCTTTTGGTCTTTGAAGGGTAGTTGTAGGCCTGGGCTGGTTTAATCTTGTACATCTTGCACATGTAGCCGCCAGATATCGCCACCGTTAGCATATTGTTTCAGAAATTCGAAGTTACCCTCAATAGTATCTTTGCTCTCGTTGTCATATTTCGCCAGACCTGTCAGAGAGTCCTTTAACTCTAATAATATTGTAATTAGCCCGGGCTTCTCCGGAATGGTCAGACAACATACTTAAAGAGCAGGGGCTGAATCCCTTAGAATTATCCACAAAGCTACAGGGACTTCCCCATTTTCTTGCTGGACTTAATAGGCTAGCACTCCTTCTTGTGAGTATTAGCAAGGGTTTAATAATCCACAAATTGTCAATACAAACTTTGGTCTGGGCACGGCTTTCTTTTTCTTTTCTTGATAATTACATGTTCGACAGTCAAATCGACGGTTCGAGCACGGAAGTCCTACTCTCGAAACGTCGCACCGGACTTTATGAAAGTGGCAATGAGAGCACGCGACAGGTGCTCTCCGCCCTCGAATTGTTTTATGGACTCTATTTATGTTATGCTGGATGATATTACTGAACATGTCTGGTTATCTGATACCCGAATTTACACTTAGGCTCGGACTAAATAGGAAATAGGATCAACAATGAATAGCATAGAGGAAATAACAGAGGCTCTTTTAATGGGTTCTTGTGGAGCCACCAGAGCTTAGCGTGCTGCTAGCAATGTCACTTTGGAGGCGACAAGCGATAGACGATAGCCGAGCTCTGAGTAACTGACCCTTTCCTTATCTACATTTAGGTAATGGAGTTGCCTCTGAAATGCAAAGTTCAGGGTTTTTAAAAGTAACATTAAATAACCGAATAAATACAGTAAATGTTTTTAAGTCTAGTAATAATATTTAGTAAGAAAGTTTATAATTTAACTTATAGAAGAGATATATAATACTTTATAGGTTAGTAAATAAGGAACCCTTCCTTTTATGTCCTTAAATAACTATAGATAGGTTAATTAGGAATATATAATAAAATTAGCATATATACTTATAATTTATAAGAGTACTATTGGATTCTTAACAGAGTGTGCTGTATTGGTAAGTAAATTATATAGACCTTGTTTATACTACTATACTACTATTATATTAGATCTTTATAACTTTAAAGCATAATAATAACTATAGACAGGGTTTCAACCTTAGGCTTATTAGTAAAAGGTTAGTATATATAGAAGATTAGTTATTTATAGATATAGCTAAGTTATACGTAATTTAGTCCCTTTTTCTTAAAATATAAATTTAAAAGGTTTAAAGAAGTCAGGAGCTAATAAGATAATATTTAAGCTATCTATTTAAGTTTATTTAATCCTTTAAGCTTCTTGTTAAGTCGTGTAAGACTAAAGCTTAAAAGCGTACCCATAGCAAGGAAACTGACATTAATAGCATGGCCCAGTCTGTAAAATGGCTTGTCCTGGCTTCTGTAAATCTATATACTAATAATTTGACCTGGGCCTGTGAACTCGATGTTGAGGCCAGAAGCCAAAGAGCTAGCTGTTGTGTTGTGGACGTTATCTGATACTCAAGCACAAAGCGAAGGCAGGCCTGCAAACACCCCCGCTATGCTAATACAGAGGAATATATACCGTACCGTGTAGCTTTGACCCGGAAGACATGCTGAAAGAGATTTTAGCTATTTGTTTAGAATAGCATTTGAGTAATATTCTTTCCCTGGATGATAAATGCCAGGGTGCTGACCGAGAAGCAGGACCTGGTAATAAGCCTACAAGACTTGGTTTGATTAGAGAGCATAGCCGCGCTTAGAGTGGTAACATAGGCAACAGCATAAGGAGGGACAGTGAAAGGCTAAGCCTGAAGGTCGTGATAACTAAACCCAGCTATAATAGTAGGTGTAAAGAGAGACAGTAAAGAATTACTAACACCAAGGCAAAGATAGGTAAAATAGTACACCTATAATTATAGCTTTAGTAAGGTCTCTTTTGCATCTGCCTAGTTAAGCTTTGCATTACTACTAATTGTTTTTAAGGTTTAAAGATGTAGTAAAAGTCCTATATAAGGATTAGGTTATAAATATTATTAAAGTACTGGTTAAGGTCTCTAGGGGGGACTATATTATAAGCTACTGCTGCTTAGGGCGTTATAATAAATTAATTAGTATAGTTTTAAATAGCTAGTTAGTTAGGATAATATTAATAAAAGACTGTTTTTATTAATATAAAAGTTATTATCTTAAAGATTTAAGGTATTTATAGTATTAAGCTAACCTTTCTTAGCTAATAAATTAAAGTATTTTATATACCTTTAAGGCTAGCTAAAAAGTTATAATTTAAGTTTTTTTATCTTTAGCCTTTAACTATAGTAATTAGTTAGTTATTATAGTATAATATTTAAGTTATTAGCTAGATATATTATTTATAGTTAAGGCTTATAACTAAAAGCTTAAATTAGTAAACAGAACTTAGTTTAAAAATATAGGCTAGTAATCTTACCCCTAAGAGTAAATTCCTTTAAATCTAATTACTTATATTGCCTTTTCGTTATCTGTAAGCTATTTTAATTTCTCTAGATAGCCTGGCATAAAGAGTATAAAGATAACGCTAAGTATAACTAAAACATATTAAAAGGAATAGACTAAGGGATTAAGTAATATACTTAATAGGATGCCTTTAATAATAAATAACTATCGCCAGCCTTTAATTCCATAGACCCTATTTATATGCCTATCTCTATAAGCAATTACTCTATTATCAGGTAAGTCTCATTTAATTGCTATACCTTAGTAATTGGAAACACATACCCTCAAAATGCTCCAGCAAGAGTTGCACTGCATAGAGAGAGCGCGATTCGAGTTGCTCTCTCTTCAGGCTTGTACTAAAAGCTCATGTAGAAAATCATCCCAGGGAATACGCCAGCTTCAAAGGCACCTAGAAAGAAACGAATGATAGCGATCTGCTCGAAGTTACGAGCACCTGCGATACCAGCACAGAAGGCCCCAAACACAATAACCAGAAAGCCCAGCCATCTTTCAGACATTAGTTAGGTTCTAGCAGGTTAATATTATACGTACATATTTGGACTAAATACTTTAAGAGCAAGGTTGCTAGGTGCTTCGAATAAAGAATACGCCACTAGAAAGATCATGAGGGCAATGACGTATTGGTATTGAGACATGTTGTTGGAATCGAGGAGCGTGTCATTGGTGGACAAGTTCAGGATACGAGCATTCCCTTGTTATTGTTAGCAGGGATCGTTACATTGACTGGCCATCCACAGTATACTAATGTTAGACCTGTCTAGGTAGCAGAACACTTTGTTCTCAGGAAAGCCTGGAGTGTCTTTTACATAGGTTTCTAACTAAGACAATAGAAAACCTGCCCTTAGAAAATTTAAAACATCTAGTCTCGCATTTTACTACTAAATATACTTACAGCACTGGAATAAGCAAGCCGGTTCCTCAGACGTCCCTGGCAATCTATACATATACTTCTCGCAAATTCCATAGGGCGTAGAAGCCATTGTATTCCGGACTTTAAGATTAACCCCTGCAAGGCTTGACATTGCCAGAGGCTATAGCTACCTTAGATTAACTCGTCGTGCCTATATCCGTTATATTGAGTTTAATACCCAGTTCCCCGTACATGATCTATATGTATTTACTAATACTAAGGATTATAATAACTAAGTCTTTTTTAATACATTAATAGGTTAAGTATTAAGCCTTCCTGCGTAGGCTACCCTATAAAAAAAGGTCTTAATTAATCTAATACTTAGTATTTACTCTTTAAGAGAACACAGCATCCTATAGGATAGCTATGCAGAGTTATAAGAAAAGAAAGTAGTATTAGGCAAGCTTTGCAAGAAATACTAAGGGCTTTCTAAAGGTTGGGATATAAGTGTACATGCTCTGTCTAAGATATCTTATTTTAAAATTAGCTTAGACTCTAGAGTTCTCCTTTTTGCACTAGTAATAATTATTCTATAGCTAGTAAGATAACACGTCTGGAAAAAGTTAAGTAAACGCTTAATAATGCTAAAAAACTAAACCACGAAATTAGAATTATACAGAGAATGGGTTAGGATAATATATTTATGTTTTTTATTCTTTTATATTAACACTTCTATAACTAGAAGTTGCTTATATGCTAATGTAATTACCTTTATAAATTGTAAAATTCGGACTTAGATATATCTAGGAGCTACCTAGAGATTGGAAATTTTAGCCTAATACTAGAAGCAACATTTAGAGCCAAGAGCTTCGCTACTTATTACAAAGACCTGGCCTAAGATAATATCTTGTTAAAGCTAGTGTTAATACTACTATCCTCTGGCCTAGCTCTTAGGACATAGAGTACTAAGTTCTATTTACTAATTTAAGCTCTTAGCTACAAGCCTTAATAGTAAATAATATATTTAGCTAATAACTTAAATATTATATTATAATAACTAACTAATTACTATAGCTAAAGACTAATATTATTAAAACTTAAAAAATAAGTTATTTACTTACTATTACAGGTTATAAAAAGGTATTTTTAATCCATTTCCTATAATAATTAAATATAAAATAATAATAAAGTAAAATA